GGGTCTCACTCTTGTTCAGGCTGGTCTCGAACTCCTGAGCTCAAACGGCCTCCCAGAGTGCTAGGATTACAGGCGTGAGCCACCGTGCCCAGCCCCTCCTGTCCTTAACCCCTGGCAACAGACAATATATTCTCCATTTGTAAAATTCTGTCATTTCAAAATGTCATATAAATAGAATTATACGATATATAATCTTTAGGAATTGTTTTTTTTCACTCAGCAGAATTCTCTGGAGATTCCTCCAGTTGATGCATGTATCAGGAGTTCATTCCTTTCATTGCTGAGCACTACTACATGACACGGATGTGCCACAGTTTGTTTAACCATTCATCTGCTGAAGGACATCTGGGCTGCTGTACCAGCTGCTACGAACATTCAAGTAAAGTCTTCATTTCTCTGGAACAAATGTCCAAGAGTGCAATTGCTAGATCATATGATTAGTTGCATTTTTAGTTTTTAAAGAAACAGCCAAAATGTTTTCCAGAGTGGCTGTACCATTCTGCATTCACATCAGAAACATACGAGTAATCCAATTTCTCCACAACCTTGGGAGCATTTGGTGGTACCACTATTTTTTTTATTTGTTTTAGTGATTCTGATAAGTGTGCAGTGATATCCCATTGTGGTTTTCTTTTTCTGGGATGATGGTGAAGAACACCATTACCACTAGGATGTTTGCTGTCACTTCCTTGATCCACACTAAGGTGCCAGCAGTTTTACCCACCATTGCTTTTGTACATCAGTACACATATATCAATACAGTGAAACAGGAATGTAATTTCTTACTCATATTATGAAAATAATTTTAACCTCACAGGCTGGGTGCGGTGGCTCACGCCTGTAATCCTAGCACTCTGGGAGGCCAAGGTGGGCAGATTGTTTGAGCTCAGGAGTTCGAGACTAGCCTGAGCAAGAGCGAGACCTCGTCTCTACTAAAAATAGAAAGAGATTAATTGGACAACTAAAAATATATAGAAAAAATTAGTCGGGCATGGTGGCGCATGCCTGTAGTCCCAGCTACT